CAGGAGGCTCCAGAATCATTGTAAACTGTCCAGTCATGGGCATATTCATATGGCGTATTTGCCTTGGCTTTAACATGCGCAGCTGTCCGTGCGGGTGTGAATCACGCGGTGTAGCTTTTCGGATTCAAAGTGGGGGCACGCAGTGTCAAGTTTGGTGGGCGGATTGTGAACTACAAGTTCTTGTTTGGGCCGGTGAAGCTAGACCAAATGTCACCCGCAGCATGTGAGGGCCACAAGTGTTGGATTTTTCTGGGCGCTGACTTTGGACCCCATGGATGGATCAGACGTTGTGTTGTGTCAGGGTTGAAAGGCAACACCTTGGTTTTTTTATGCTTGCAGAAATTGGCAATTGGGTTGAGGCTGGTAAGCTTTGGCGACATTCTGTGTGTGGCGCAAGAAGGAGCAAACTGATCTTCGCATCCGCAGTAGCTTAGCCCTCGCTACCTTCTTTCCTGTGCGGCCCATGCCACGTTTGCCGATGAAGGAGAACCAGGCCTCCTTGTTGGCCGCAAAGGAGCTGATCATGAAGGCGCTCATGAAGAGGAACATGAAGAAGAACACTTGCAAGGCACGGAGAACACGTCCATGATGAGCGATGAAGAGTGTGCCCGTGACGAGCACGCCTATGAAGAGCGCACCCATGAGGAGCACGCCCATGAAGAGCGCGCCCATGCAGAGCAGGACCTTAAAGACTGGTGCGACAGAGTTGGAGCTCCTGAGGTACCGTCAGTGGTCCGCAAAGTGCGGCAGAGGGATTCAATGACGTTGCAGCGAGCATTGGCGAGCGGTAAAAAGACTCAAGCGGCTCCTGGGTGGTGGACGGTCGCCAGGGCCATGTCGCGTTTTAGAACTGCGTAGCCTTGCGCTGCGTGTGTTTGCTCTTGCTTGGCTGGCGGTTGTAAGCCCGCTTGGCGTGTGTTTTCTATGAAGCTGATTTTGTTTTGGCTGAAGGCCCTTGAGATCAAGCAGAAGACAGAGGGAATGTTTTGCGGCCGTTTGACCCCAGTTCTGAACAGCGAAGCTTACATTTGCCTGCCCTGGTTCAACCCAAGCAGAAAATAGGTTTATGTGGCAAAGAAATGCATCTTTCCAGCTTGCCACATACTCTGTTACAGGTTGCGTTTGACATTCGGGGCAGGAATGAGGGGGGAAAAGCTGTGTGGCGCAAGGCGTGCAGGACTTTGTCCAACAGAGCAGTACTCCTTCCAAAGGGACCTCACCTAGGCCTTGCAGTTACTTTGTTTCTCTTGCCCGGCTTGAGGCGCATGCGCTCTGTTTTCTTTGATGGTGAAGATCTATCCCGCATACTTTCTGTTCTGCGTGATAGAAACCTGCAAGCTCATCTACTAAAGCTTTATGGTACTTGGCACGCATTTTTTGCGTGAGGTGTTAACCTTGCAGCCGCGTCTTGCAGTGGGAAGAGCCTGTCATAGCTGATAAGCTCGAAGCCGGTCCGCCTCCATGTTGCCCATAGCTGGCTTGAAAGACACGAAAGCTTTGGGGGGGGGGCTCCACTCATAAGCTTGCTACACAGGCCACTCATGGACGTTCATAGGACTAGGCACAATGGAGGATCGAAGTGCACGGCGTGTGGGCCCATCGCATGGAGTTGAGCGGTTTTTGGCTGGGCCCATCTCGCAGTGAAAGCGCTTCCAAGAGAGTGCCAGAAGCGCCGGGCACCATGGGCCATCGGGTTTGAGACGCTCAGCTTTTCGGAAAGTAGGGGTGTTTGTTGCGGATTCACTGGGGCCTTCGGGCTTCAAAAACCTAGCATTTTTGGTAGTTTTCAATTCTTTGTCCCAGTCGGATCTTCTTAATTTGGATGTGTTTTTGTTTGTTTTTTTGGCGACTGTGTGGCTGCGATTGTTCATTTGTGGTTTTTTTTGTTGCTTTGTTGTCTTGGGAGGAAGTTTGCATTATTTTTCTAGACCCCTTAAAACAGTCGCCAAGATCTAGAAAAAGTCTGCGGTATTTGGGATACCTCAATCACAGTTTGACATTATTTCAGGGCAAGAAGTCAAGAAGCTTCAGGCAGTTTTCGCACACTTTTTTCTGGCAAATTGCCTGGCTTCATGAGAGCAGCAGCCCTGCGTAGGTCATGGGCAGAGCACCAGAGCCTATGGCAAGAAAAGCGAGGTGTGGACAGCGGCAGCAACGACGCCGCGGTGTTCGACCTGTCCCAAAACGCGTGGTCCATCGGCTCATGGACGTCAGCCAACGGCTGCCTCCCAACATTCCGGCGAAATTCCCGCCTGTGGCTGGCACGCAGCAAGCGCTTGCTATGCCCAGTAGAGGTTGCCAAGTTGATGGGCTTGCCAAGCTCATCACATGTGCGACAGAAGACACTTGGCCATGATGACGGCCCTTGTGTGTGCACGTGAGATATAGCTTCTCAGACCAGGAAGCATACGCGAATCACAGCAAAATGTAGCCCACAGCGTGTGAGTGAGGACCACGAATGAGGGCTGCCTTTCTGCATGACAAGGGAGTTCCCAAATTAGGCTGATACTGATGTCCTTCCAACCTCCAGCGAGCTTTCTCATATGAGGGCAGACATTTGGGCAGCACTGTTGGATCATGACTTTCAGTTGCCGCAGGCTTGAAAGGAAACAGCTGAGAATGCTTGGACTAACTGTGGGCCCAGCAGCTGGTGAGAAGGACCTAGCTGATATCCTTCACACCCGCAGTAGCGTCATTGAGGCTCAGCCTGATCAGCTTTTGCTACCCTCCATTGTCCCTCCTGTGCGCCCCATGCCAGCGAAGGCAAATCCGGCCCTCCCCTTGGCCGCAAAGAAGCTGACTACGACGGCGAAGCGGTGCAAGATCAGCACGCCTGTGAAGAGCATGCCCATGACGAGCACGCCAATGAAGAGCACAACCATGACGAGCGCACCGATGAAGAGCACGCCCACTAAGAGCACGCCCGCGAAGAGCACACCCATCAAGAGCAAGCCTATGAAGAGCGCGCCCATGAGGAGCACGCCCATGAAGAGCACGCCCATGCAGAGCAGGACCTTAAAGACTGGTGCGACAGAGTTGGAGATCCTGAGGTACCGTCAGTGGTCCGCAAAGTGCGGCAAAGGGATTCGATGACGTTGCAGCGAGCATTGGCGAGCGGTAAAAAAACTCAAGCGGCTCCTGGGTGGTGGACGGTCGCCAGGGCCATGTCGCGTTTTAGAACTGCGTAGCCTTGCGCTGCGTGTGTTTGCTCTTGCTTGGCTGGCGGTTGTAAGCCCGCTTGGCGCGTGTTTTCTATGAAGCTGATTTTGTTTTGGCTGAAGGCCCTTGAGCTCAAGCAGAAGACAGAGGGAATGTTTTGCGGCCGTTGACCCCAGTTCTGAACAGCAAAGCTTACATTTGCCTGCCCTGGTTCAACCCAAGCAGAAAATAGGTTTATGTGGTAAAGAAATGCATCTTTCCAGCTTGCCACATACTCTGTTACAGGTTGCGTCTGACATTCGGGGCAGGAATGAGGAGTCAATTGCTGTGATTAAATGGGGAAAAGCTGTGTGGCGCAAGGCGTGCAGGACTTTGTCCAACAGAGCAGTACTCCTTCCAAAGGGACCTCACCTAGGCCTTGCAGTTACTTTGTTTCTCTTGCCCGGCTTGAGGCGCATGTGCTCTGTTTTCTTTGATGGTGAAGATCTATCCCGCATACTTTCTGTTCTGCGTGATAGAAACCTCCACACTAGCCGCCCTGTTAATGAAGTGGGGCAAGCTCATCTACTAAAGCTTTATGGTACTTGGCTGCATGATTCCTGTCAAAAATCTCGGTGTCCGTAGCAAACCTGTAGTAGAACACAAGCGCGGCAAGCAGCAAAGAAGCCTCTCTGGCCAAACATTATTCTGCGCAAAACTATAATGTAATCTCTGTGGTTCAAGAATTATGGTCAATGGCTTGCGTGCAGGGTTGCCCTCAAGGCAGTCAAAGCTACGTCGTTCCACTTTGTCTTTCTCCTCAAAGACTTGAAAGCAGCTTCACATCAATGAACATATTCTGTCATAGTTGTCATAGCTGGCATGAAGCGCATGTTTGTAAACAGCTGACAGCAGCGACAGGACTAGGTGCCATGGAGGATCGCAGAGTGCGACGGCGTGTGGGCTCATCAGTCGCGCTTTCGCCTGCCTCCTTTGACCCGTCCAATCCACCTGGCCCGTCTAGCCCACATGGACTTGAGCGCTTTTATAGCTGGGCCCATCTCGCAATAGAGGCAATTCCGACAGAGTGCCCGCACTGGCGATCTAGTTTGCTCATCAAGAAGCAGTACTATTCCACGGCGTGCTCTGGGCTGGGCACAGCTGAAGCAGCAGCCGACGCAGTTGTCCACGCGGCCCGTCAGGCTGGCTTGACTGAGTGCCGCCTGGAGTGTCTGCACAGCATGGAGCCAGACGGCCCATGCGTGCAAGCGCTGCTGGGCCGAGACGACAGGGCCCATCTGTTTCGCAGCATCTTCGACGTGTTTCAGGGTGGCCTTGCTCGCCCTGACAAGGCTGCGGCCCATCCTGCTGACAAGATCGCAGAGTTCAGCGCTGCTTTTCCCGAGGCGGACTCCGTGCGGATTCCTTGCGTCCGTCATGGACGCAACTGCAAGGTCCGTCGAGGTCATGGCAGCATTTGCGGGTCGGCCTGTCAGCCCTGGAGTCGTATGGGAGCGCTTCTAGGCCTCGTGCTGTAAAAACGCGCATGCATTGTTGGATCTTTAAGTGATGCAAGCTTTTCTCCCCTTTTAGGCGCGAGTGACGTTCGCTGCAATGTGCTGTGGGCATGGCTGGCCCTTCTGAAGAAGTGCCGGGTACCGTGGGCCATCCATGAGAATGTAGAAGGGTTTGAGACGCTGAGCTAAGCGCAACAAAGCTTTTCAAAAGTAGGTTGGTGTTTTGTTGCGGAGAGAACTGATCCACATTGAGCACTGCTGAGGACATCATTGCTGGACGACAACCTCCCCGAGTACGAGATATTTCATCTTCACGTCAGGCCGTCAGATTGGGGGCACCACTGCATGGCCCGACCGCGGATCTACAGCATCATGTACCACAGGGCCTACCTGGAAGTGATCGCAGAGCCTGTGGAAGTGTGGCAGGGGATTTGCGCCGCTGTGCGGCAGCACATGGGGCCAGTGCCGCTGCATCTTTTTCTGGACAGCACATCCTTGGCAGACGTTTTGGCCTGGGAGAACGAGTTGCGCCGGGCTGCTCGGATGGCTGCAAGGGAACATGGTCCATCAGATGACTGGGCCTATCTTCTGTCAGATCGTGAGCAGAGGCTGGGCGCGCTTTGTGTCCAATTCTCTAGTAGTGTTGGTCTGTAACTTAAAAACCCCCCCCCGGCCCAAACGGGCAGCCCTGACTGTTTGGGGCTGGGCTGGCTTTCAATTTGATTTTCCCATTGCCTGCTTTCATGTTGATTAAGACTGCGTTTGGGCAAAGCGTTCATTTTGATTTTTCCCACTGGCCGCCTTTACTTTGCCTTTAAAAATGCGTTTTGGCAAAGCTCTCAGTTTGATTTTCCTACTGGCTGCCTTCACTTTGCCTTTAAAACTGATTTTCCTATTAGCTGCCTTTGCTTGTTAAAACTGCATCTCGGCAAAGCGTTCAAATTGATGTTCTTATTTGCTGCCTTGCCTACTTTGCAGTTTTGGGTCCCAACTTAGAGCCTTCAGCCATGCAGCTTTTTGTAGGTTTAGGTCCCGGCTATGCAGTTTTTGGTCTCAACTGGAGCCTGCCGACTGGCGCCTTTGGCCATGCAATTTTTGGCGCCAGCAGGCAACAATAAAGGAAAGTAAAACGGGGATGGCATGTGCCTGACAGATTTTTGTGGCGTCCACAAACATAATTTATACAACGTTTGCACTTGCAGGGCAGGCCTTGAGTTCAGGAAATGTAACGTTTGGGTAATCAGTTGGACTGCGTCATGCGATAGTTACAGGAGACAGCAAACACTTCTGTTCTGGGACAGGTGGCGCACGCGCCTCACAAAGAATTTGTGCAAAATGTGCACTTTCTGGGCAGGCCTTGGGTTAGGGAAATGCAAGCTTTGGTAAGGAGCTGGACTGCAGTTTGCTTTAGTTGCAGCAAAAGGAAAGTAGAAGGGGGTGCTGAAACAGAGCTGCGTTCTTCTGTGGCCCTAAGCGGGGTAGCTGGCGGGGTGGGGCGCATGGCTGATTAGAGCTCATGCGAAATTTGCACCTTCTGGGCCTTGAGTTCAGGAAATGTTTGCTTTAATTACAGGAGGCAGGCCTTCAGCAATGCAGTTTTTGAAGTTTGGTTCTCTACGGGGTTCAGCCACAGCGTTTATTAGTTGTTGGGGCCTTTAGGCTTCAGCAAGAAGTAAAGAAACTTCAGGCAGTTTTCGCACACTTTTTTCTAGGCCGCCAACAGACACAGAGCAGCAGCCCTGCGTAGGTCACTGGCAGAGTACCAGAGCCTATGGCAAGAAAAGCGAGGTGTGGACAGCGGCAGCGATGACGCCGCGGTGTTCGACCTGTCCCAAAACGCGTGGTCCATCTGCTCATGGACGTCAGCCAATGGCTGCCTCCCAACATTCCGGCGAAATTCCCGCCTGTGGCTGGCACGCAGAAAGCGCTTGCTATGCCCAGTAGAGGTTGCCAAGTTGATGGGCTTTCCATCAGGCTCATCACATTTTTCTCAGAAGACACCTGGCAATGCCATGAGCTTACAGACAGTGGGCTTGGCCATCATGACAGCCCTCCTGTGCGCGCGAGAACTGTAGCACCTTAGAGCGGGAAGCATGGGTAAGAAAAGAGGCACGTGCTGCATTGGATAAGAGGCACGTGTAAGCTGCAACGTGCGTCACCCCCCTCAGCAAAAGTTCAGCGGGAGGGTCACGTAATGTGCGTCCATGTGAGCTGCGCTCAAGAGGGTCAAATGTCACATCAGAGTTGTGCACTTGGTTTTTTGGTGTCAACTTGGCGAGCCCAAAATGTAGACTGGAGGGGGGACTGAAACATACACTTGAGGGAAAAAAGGCTGACATGCACACACGGGGGGATGGAGATGTGCCTCCCATCCAAAATGTACAAACTGTTGTTTGGGGCCCGCCAGCTAACAGAGGGTCATCAGGTGCCCCAGTTTCCTCCAACTAGGCCAGTCAGGGGTGTAAATCGCTTAGCCAGGCAGGGCTTTTGAAAACCTTGACTCTCCATAGCTGGCAAGTGATTTTCATACCAGAAGCGGGGCTTCCCACAGACCTCTTCGTGCAATCCTGGGGCGGGGCTTCGCACAAACCCTGGGCGAGGTTCGCGCAAACCTTGGCGAGGGCTCGCGCTAACCCAGGCAAGGGTTCGCACTAAGTATGGGGAAGGCGCGCTAACCCCAGGCCTGAGGCTCGCAAAGTCTACTCTCACTTCATCGCGCCTTTGTGGCAGGGTTCGCACAGGGTTCGCCTAGAGCTGTCCAGGGTTCGTGCCGGGGGTTCGTGCAAAGGCGCGTGCGCAGGCTTACACAGAAGCTTACCCAAAGGTTGGTGCAAAGGTTCGCGCACGGGTTCGTGCAAAGGCGCGCGCGATGCTTGCAAAGGCTCGCCTAAGGGTTCGTGCAACCACCCCCGAAAGGCTGCTCATCAGTCTCTACTCACAAGTTCTGATTGAAGCCTGCCTGGAAGGTTCATGGAAGGGCTCATTGTCATGATGGCGTAGCCCAGGATAATGCTCATTGTGTTTGCCTTGAGGTTTCACCGTCACAAGCAAGGGTGCACCCGCTTGCGTTTGCCAGTCACAGCACGTTCTTGCCCTAGCTCATCACTGTTTGCCTCTCACGCGCCCATCATTGGCCCATCATGGCTGCCAAGATCGCGAAGGCAAAGGCCGCCAAGAAGTCGAAGGCGGAGGCGAAGGCAGCGGCCCAACAGGCCAAAGCCCTGAGGAAAGCGGCCGGCATCACGCAAG